GGTCCGGCACAAGACCGCGGAGCGGGGGTCGTGTGCAAAAATGCCCCCCCCCCGGGGAACACGATACCTGCACAGTCAACCCGTATAGTAAGGATGCGCGATAAGGATGCAAGGGCATTGGACGCCCATTTCGAAGCTTTTCGAGCGGGGCGCGGCCGACGAAAGTGGCGAAGGATGGACCGAGGAGGAAAGGATGTAAGGGTACCCTTAGGAAGGTTGCCCATCCTTGCTATGCGGGTTGACTGCACACCAACCCCGCAGACAAGCCAGTCCGGCACAAGGTGCGCGGGCAGGCTGAGTGGCCCTCAATCGGCCCCTGATTCCGGGCCTTCTGAGAAGGCCCGCCCCCTCTCACCTCCTCCCCCCCCGGGCGCGCCGCTGGTCCCTGCGCAGAGGAGGAGGGGGAGCAAGAGAAGGAGGAGGAGGAGGAGGAGGAGGACGGGGAGGAGGAGGAAGAGGAGGAGGAGGAGGAGGAGGGGGAGGAGGGGAGGGGGGGAGGGAGGAGGGGGGGAGGGAGGGGAGTGGAGGAGGGGGAGGAAGGGGAGGGGGAGGGAGGGGGGGAGGGGGAGGAAGGGGGGGGGAGGAAAGGAGGCGGGAGGGGGGGGGGGAGGGGGGGTGGGGGAGGGGGGGGGAGGGGGAGGAGGAGAAACAGGGTAGAGGAGGGATCGGAGGGACGAGGTAGGAAAAGTGGCGGCCACTCCGGACCGCGGTAGTGTGATGCAGGAGGGGGCAGGGGAGGTGGTGAGTGGCCCGGAGGCAGTCGACCTTCCCCTCCGTCTTCTACCACGACCCCTTCTTACTTTCTCCATACTCGTGCTCCGCTGTGTCGCGGAAATCTCTGGCCGAACCCTCCGAAAAACTATCCATCTCCTCCCCCTGCCCCTCCTCCGAGAAGGGAGCGAGAGCCACACCCCCCTCCCCACCCCCAGCCAACCCCTCCCTGCACACCACTTTTCTTCAACACGGTCTCACCATCTTACACCAAAATCTCCCTCCGGTCCACGCTCCCTGGAATTAGGCCAGGTTAGGCCGGGCATGTCCCCCGTGCAGGCGGTTTTGGACGAAATATAAAAAAGCATATGTTTTGTATTCCACAAAGGCTTTTATTATAATAATAACAATAATAATGATAATAAGTATTATTATTATGATAATAACAATAACAATAACAATAATAATAATAATAACAATAATAATAATAATGATAATAATAATAATAGTAATAATAAATAATAATAATAATAATAATAATAATAATAATAATAATAATAATAATAATAATAATAATAATAATAATAATAATAATAATAATAGTAATAATAATACTAATACTAATAATAGTAATAATAAGAATAATCATAATAATAATCCTTTATTTACTATTTTTGCATACTCCTCCTGTAGGGGGGCCCGCCCGACTTAACCCTGGTGCTCTTTTCACTCGCCAGCCAGGCCTGCTTCGGACCACCGGCAGGGGGCTCTCGCACGAGGGCGGGCCGAGAGGCAGCCGGGCGCCCCTCGCGAGAACGGCAGACTCAGCCGCGACATGCGCGCACAGACTGCACCGCACACAGCTCGGCATGGAGGGGACGTTCGGTGGCTACTCGTGGGAGCCTTCCACCGCATCTTGTCGGCTCTTGCTGATCGACGCTGATCGACGCTCAATCGACGCTAAATCGACGAGAGCCGACGCTGAATCGGCGATATCCCATCGACTCCCAGACGCTAGTCGACGCCAATCGGCGCCAAAGGCGACATGAAGAGGGTACACCAGGCTCCCATGATTTGCTGCCGAATGAGCGGGTCCTTGAGGGAAGGCAAGCCTGAGCTGGATCGAACCGCGATCACGGATCGGATCGGAGACGCATCGCATCGCCAGCGAGCCGCCCCGCATCGCATCGAGAGCGGATCGCCGCGCCTGGCCCTGGCTGGCCCGGCCGGTGCCGCCGACTCAAACCGAGTCCGAATCGCGGCCCCAGCAGGCGAATCGACCCGCGTGCAGTTTGGATCGTGGGCGGCCCCACAGGGGTCCTGGAATCGGTTCGCCGCGCTCGGCCCCTTGCTCCTCCTCCTCCTCCTCCTCCTCCTCCTCCTCCTCCTCCTCCTCCTCCTCCTCCTCCCCAGGGCCGTCAGCAAAAACGAGCCCGGCGTGTGAAGAACCAGTCATAGGGGAGAGTCCCTCACGGTCCACGACCCAGTTCCCTCAGGGTCCCCTTCCTTCATGGCGAGTGGCAGGGAGGAGGAGGGCGAGGGGGGCAGGGCAAGCCAGGTGCGCTCGCGCCATATCTGGCATGCTACCCGTCCCACCCATGCCTTCCCATTGCGTTGAGTTTTCTCTATCCGCCGACGGGTGCCGTGGCGGATCTGGAACCCCGAAAAGGATTCTATCACAGTATGCGCAATCAGCAATGCGGAGCTGTCTACGTTTAGAGGAACGGGGGTGTCCAGTGCCAATCCAAGAAATCCACGCGGACCTCAGAAAGCCAAAATTCAGGAAGTTTTCTCTCCGAAAATTGGAGGAGGTCGGTCGGTCGGTAAACGCCGTCTGATCCCAGTTATTGCCGATTGGTAGACGACAAGTTAGTTCAGCGTGCGCAAGAATGACTATTGGTGCCAACGTTGCCAAACACCGGAAGAAACTCGTTCTTCATTTTTCGGACATAGCTCGGTTACGCGGGGGGAGATGCCCATGGAAAGCCGGAAGAAAAACGAGTTATCCGGGTCAATCTTTCGGCGATACCCCAACAAAAAACAACCCCATCAAACCAAAAAAAAAAAAAAAAAACCAACCCCACCAAAAAAAAAACTACAATAAAAAACAACCCAAAAACCCATAAGAAAAGACAAAAACAAAATAAAACCTACCCCCGGGGAGATGCCGGCCGACCACTTAACCTTTCCGCTTTGGGCAGCCCCACGTAGGCCCGCGCGCACCACTGTTGCGCACTCCCTCTCGGACCTGCGCAAGCGACAAGGTCAGGTTATTCGGGGAGAGAGGGGGGTGGGGGGGGCGATAACAATGGTTATCGCCGGACCCTTAAAAGAACACCCTCGAGGCATGCCCCAAAAAGCGTGCCAATAGGCGAAACCAGAGCAAGCTGGGTCTGAATATCAGCAACTTGCAACCCATGACTACAGAACCCCTCATGCTGACAGGCGCAGACGGGGCAAGGAACGGGGAAACAACGATGAGGAAGGACTCGGTTCCAGAAAGTGGCCCGCGCTGGAGCGAGAGCGCCGTTCGGAACGACGGGAGCAAAGCGCCGATCCTATAACGATGCGCACGCTGCAATGGAAGCACCATACTGTCACACCAGAAACATACCGATTCGCACACACACACACACACACACACACACACACACACACATACACACATGCATACATATACCTATACATGTACATGTACATATACATATACATATACATATACAAATACATATACATATACATATATATGTGTATATATACATATACATATACATATACATATACATATACATATGCATATACGTATACATATGTATATACATATACATATACAAATACATATACATATACATATACATATACATATACATGTACAGGTACACGTACACGTACCTATACATATACATATACATGTACATGTACATGTACATATACAAATACATATACATATACATATGCATATGCATATACATATACATATACATATACATATGTACAACATGTACATATACATATACATGTACATGTACATATACATGTACATATACATGTATATATCCCTATATATAGATGTGCATGTATATATACATATGCATATACATATACATGCACAAATACGTATATCTATACATATGCATATACATAAACATATACATGTACATATACATACACATATATAATACCATCGTTGGAAGTGCTCTGTGCTAAAAAAATACCTGGAGAGGGCGGGATACTTTCAGCACGCAGTTTTGGGGAGAGGGGTAGGCATTTTTCGGGGGCGCGCAAACATGGATCGGGGCAGGTGCCCTCCCCAAAATGCGGCTGGTGCCGCATCTTTCGGCGGCGGAAATCCGCGATTTCCCATGGAAACGGGACCCGTCGCTATTCCACGCCCCCCTTGATCCATGTTTGCGATCGCCTGACACTTGTAGAGAGAGAGAGAGAGACGGTGAAGGAGAGGCCGGGCGGAAAGAGCGCAGCGGCGCGCAGCGTCTCGTGCGGCTGACTCGCGGCGTCACGCGCCGCTCAGGCGTGGGGGGGCCCCGAGGCCTCGGCCAGACGCCGTGCTCGGTCGTACCGGCTGGCTCGCGAGAGCTGTCTCGGCGTCGCACCGGGGGGGGGAGGCAGAGGGGGCGGGCCGCCTCGAGGTCTCGGAAGGCATGCGGCCCTCTCGGGAGCTCCCTGGGCCCTCTCGGAGGCCACGGCGGGCGCCTCGGGAGGCCGGGGGGCCTCTGTGGGGCACGCCGCCTGCCGGGGAGGCCTGCCCCCTCTCGGGCGCCTGGCGGTGTCGGGGGGCAGCACTCGGCTCTCTGGCGGCCGCTCGGAGAGGACCCGGGCATCCCCCAGGACGCCCTCGGCGAGGCGCAGCTGCTGGAGGGCATCCCCGAGACTGGAGAACCTCCGGGGGCCAGCGAAAAAATCAGGGGGCGTCGAGCTTCCGCCCTCGGCGCGCCGCCGATCGTGAGTAGACTACTCGATGGAAAACGTTGCAACAAAACTGGCGCGGCGTGCATTCCTCCTCCTCGTCCTCCTCCTCCTCCTCCTCGCTCCTCCTCCTCCCCTTTCCCCTCCCTCACCCCTCCTGCCTCTCCATCGCACCTCCTCCCCCCCTCCTCCGCCCCTCCGCCCCCTGCTCTGCCTACATCCTCCTCCTCCTCCTCCTTCCTCCTCCTCCTCCTCCTCCTCCCTCCTTCCTCCTCCTCCGCTCCTCCTCCTCCTCCTCCTCCTCCTCCTCCTCCTCCTCCTCCTCCTCCCCCCAGGTCGGGGCCACGGGGGCGCGCGGCGGGCGGCTACAGCTCCGACTTCGACGTGGACGCCGTGGCCGCGAACTTGTGCACCGACTTGAGCAGGCCCAGCCCGCTGTTCTTGATGGCCTCTACGGCCTCGTCCTTTTTGGCGCTCTCCTCCTGTCGAGTCGGACGGCAGGGGGTCAGCAAAGGCGGGGGTCGCAGATCAGCCCAAGTGGCTGGCTTTCCCAGCACATCCCGGCGCGCCGCAGGCGCCCACACATCAAAAGGAGCGCCCGTCGGCGCAGCCGAAGCCGGCCGCGTGGATCAGATTCCCTACCCCTGGGATGAGCCAAACGTTCCCTCGGGACGACGTACAGTCGGACCTAGGCCAAAAGAACATCCTTCGAGAACATGAGACACTGCGCCGGCCATCGCACACGAAGCGTCCAGGGGTACGCTCCCCCAGGATGCACATGAACACCCAACAAGCAGGAAGAACACGAGGGCACCCTCCCCGAACCGACCTCGATCTTATACGGGGTACGTCTGGCCTCCCCTGATACAGTCGGGCCCAGGACAGAAGAGAACATCCCCCAAGAACACGAGACCCTCCGTAGGCCCAAGCTGAAGAACACTCGAGGGTGCCCTTCCCCAGGGTGCACAAGAGCATCCAACGAACAGGACGAACAGTAGGGCATCTTCCCTGAACCGATCTCGATATTCTACCTCGGTCCGACTGTACGTTTGGCCTCCCCTGATACCCCCCGCTTTCCCTGACCCGCCCGTTCGTCCAGCCCGATCCTTGTACGCCTTGTTGAGGTTCTCCACGAAGGCCTTGAAGTCCGCCTCGAGCTTCTCGCTCTCGGCGTCCTTCTCCTTGATCATGGCCTCGCGCTTCTCGGCGCCGAGGGCGGTGAACTCTGCGATCTGTTTCTTCTTCTCGTCGTCGCACAGTTCCAAGTTCCTGAAGGGCAACGATAGGGGGGACTGGCATAGGGGGGATGCATCGACCTGGAATCGGCGATACATCGCCGATAGATCCGCCACCGTGCCTGCGGCACGTTGGGACGTGGAAGAATTCCAAAGGGCTGTATGGCAGGTTTATGCAGTTTTTTGAAGGGCCCGCCTTCTGGCCCGAACCCAACTGCCTGCATCGTCCATTCTCCCAGGGGCTCCCTGGGCGGCCGTGGCACCTCTGTGGGGCTCTCCAAGGCTTCCATGACGGCCCAGGAGGCCCCCATGACGGTCCAAGAGGGCGCGAGTCGCCGAACGATCGCTCGAAGACGCCCGAAAAGGCCTCCAGATGGCCCAAGAGGCCTGCAAGACGCCCCAAACCGCCTCCAAGAGGCCCTCCCGAGAGGCCCCCAAAAGGCAAAAATGGTTGATCCCCCATTGGCTGTTTGAAATTGTGGTGTTCCCGCCTTTTTGCGGCAACCCGACGGTCCAAGACGGCCCACGAGACGCCCAAGACCACCCCAAAACCCAAGAGGCCTCCAAGAGCCCCAAAACGGCCCACGAGGCGGCCAAGACAGCCCACGAGGGCCCCAAGACGGCCTCAAAAGAGGCCCAAGAGAAGGAACGCCAACCGAAAATCCGAGCCTTCCGCCCCAAGAGGGCCCCAGGAGGCCCCAAGAGGCGCCAAAGAAGCCCCCAAGAGGCCCCCAAGAAGCCCCCAGGTGGCCCAGAACAGCCCCCACTAAGCCCCAAAACGGCCCCCAAGAGAGCTCCGAACTGCCTCCAATAGGCCCCTGATGAGGGCCCCCACGAGATCCCAACAAACATCCAGCAGGGCGGGGTGGAGCTATCAGACCACTTATCGGCGATCAACGGGCGATCAGGGGTCGATGCGTCCCCCCCTATGCCTATTCATTGAAAAGCGAAGGCCAGGAGGGTGCAAGCCGAGACCCCACTTATGGTAACGCCGTAGACGTTCCATAGTATCCCATCACTAATACCATGCTAAGGTATAGGTCGGTATATAAGAGATACGGCTAGATATGAGAGTATGCACCATCGAAGGATGTGGATGTCTCCTTTTCCGTTAGTCAGGTGCGGTAGTGCGCCATGGATGGCGCAGTCCTATAGAGCGACGTCGCTTGAGCCCTAGCGGCTTCGGACATAGGCAGGGTGCTCGCTATGCTCGCCTTCGGCCTCCCTTCAAAACTATCCCCCCTAGCGTTGCCCCTGAGCTCCCGGGGCCGCAGGACGGGCCGAGGCTGTCGGCGTGCTTCTTGAGGCTCTTGAAATCCGCCGAGCCCAGCTTGCCGGGGGCGACGAGGCACGTGAGCTGCTTGACGGCCCCCCTGACCCCTTCACAGGCTCCTCCTCCTCCTCCTCCTCCTCCTCCTCCTCCTCCTCCTCCTCCTCCTCCTCCTGCTGCTGCTGCTGCTGCTGCTGCTGCTGCTGCTGCTCTTCCCCCCCATTCCTCCCCCCCTCCTCCCCCGAGACGGCCCAAGAGGGCTCAAAGACGGCCCCCGCACTCCCCACTCCCCCATATCGCGCTTGAAGGAAGCGGGGGGGGGGGCAGGGAGTTCCACAACCCGCCTTCTGGAACCTAGGGTCTCCGACATGGCCCGAGACGGCCTCCAGCATGCCGCCAGGAGGCCCAAAGACCACTCCACAGCGACTCCAAGCGGACACGGAGCCTCCCAGCGAGGCCCCGAGAGGCCCAAATCCTGCCAAAACCATGGCAGTCTCGTGGGCTGCTCCTTCTCGCCTTTTCGCTTTCAAGGAGCTTCTGAGGCCTCAAAGGTGGCTCCAAGATGGCCCGATAGAGCCTTCAGGGGGGCCCAGCAGGGCTCAAACACGACGGCAAGAGCGCCCAAACGCACACTCAAGAGCGCCCCAAGAGGGTCCCCCAGAGGCGGCTGCTCGAGCCCAAGAGGGGCAAACCTAATCGCAGCATCCCCCTTCGCTTGAAAAATCACTGATACCGCAAAAAAAAAAAAAAAAAAAAAAAAAAAAAAAAAAAAAAAAAAAAAAAAAAAAAAAAAAAAAAAAAAAAATGTTTTTGCTATAGGGCTATGGGGCTATAGGGCTATAGAACCATAGGGCTATAGGTCTATAGGGCTTTAGGGCTATAGGCATATAGAACTATAGGGCTATAGGGCTATAGGGCTATAAAGTTATAGGGCTATAGGGCTATAGGGCTATAGGGCTATAGGGCTATGGGGCTATAGAGTTATAGGTCTATAAGGCTACAGAGCTATAGGGCTATAAGGGCTACAGGGCAGTAGGGGCATAGGGCTATAGGGCTATAGGGCTATAGGGCTGTTGGGCTATGGGGCTATAGGGCTATAGGGCTATAGGGCTATAGGGCTATAGGGCTATAGGGCTATAGGGCGATAAAGCACCCGGGCACCTGGGCCAGCCACCGAAATCGGCAACGAACCTGACCTAACAAGGGCTATAGGGCTATGGGGCTATAGGGCGATAGGGCTAGAAGGCTGCAGGGCTATAGGCTGTAGGGCTATAGGGCTATGGGCTATAGGGCTACATGGGCTATAGGGTTATTGGGCTATTGGCCTATAGTTATAGGGCTATAGGGCTATAGGGCTATAGGGCTATAGGGCTATAGGGCTATAGGGCTATAGGGCTATAGGGCTATAGGGCTATAGGGCTATATGGCTATAGGACTGTAGGGCTATAGGGCTGTGAAGGGCTATAGGGCTATAGGGCTATTGGGATATGGGGCCATAGGGTTATAGGGCTATATGGCTATAGGGCTATGTTGCTATAGGGCTATAGGGCGATAGAGCACCCGGGCACCTGGGCACCCGGGCACCCCCGGGCACCTCCGGGCACCCCCAAGCACCTCCGGGCACCCCTGGGCACCCGGGCACCCGGGCACCCAGGCACCCCCGGGCATCTGGGCACCCGGGCACCCAGGCACCCGGGAACACAGGCCGGCCATCGAAATCGGCGACCCACCTCACCTAACCATATGAATCCGCCAGGCCAGGACCCCTACGGAGGCAAGCTCTGATTGGGGAATGAAAAATGACCAGGCGCTTGCAAGATTGTGGCACATCGGGTGCATCCGTGGGAGGTTTTTGGGCAAAGATGGCGTCAAGATGGCGTCAAACAGTTCAACATGGCATCAATGATGACGTTATATAAATCCGAGATGGTTCAAGATGGCCTCCAACATGCCTCCAAGAGGCTAGAGCACCACTCCAGGATGGCCCCAAGCGGCCACGCAGCGTCCCAAGGAGACCCCGAGAAGCCCAAACCATGTCAAAATTTTAATCCCACCAGCCTTCTGGGCGTTGGTGGTCGAGGAAGTTTTAACTTACAACCCCCCTTCTTACCCTGCGGGGAAGGGTTTATCGCTGTTCCTTATTAATATACACCCCCTCCCCCAGGCGACCGGCGTCCAACCAGGAACCTTGGGGAAACCATGACGACCCGCCCCCCACCATCCCTGTCCAATTCTGCTAACGCAGTTCCCCACATAAAAATATTAACGGTCTCGTGGGACCCATGGGGTACGACAACATCAACACGAAGGAGAAGCTGGAGAGGTGGGGCCTCCCTGGGGAGGTGGGAAGGACACGAAACCATGTAAATAGTATGGGTTTCCGATACCCTCCTCGCTCAGGCGGGGCCTCCCTGGAGGGATGGGAGGGGCACGAAACCATGTAAATAATGTGGGTTTCCGATACCCTCCTCGCTCAGACGGGGCCTCCCTGGAGGGGTGGGAGGAGCACGAAACCATGTAAATAGTATGGGTTTCCGATATCCTCCTCGTTCAGGCGGTGCCTCCCTGGAGGGGTGGAAAACAGGCACGAAACCATGTAAATAGTATGGGTTTCCGATACCCTCCTCGCTCAGACGGGGCCTCCCTGGAGGGGTGGGAGGGGCACGAAACCATGTAAATAGTATTGGTTTCCAATACCCTCCTCGCTCAGACGGGGCCTCCCTGGAGGGGTGGGAGGGGCACGAAACCATGTAAGAAGGGGGGAGGGGCACGAAACCATGTAAATAGTCTGGGTTTCCGATTCCCTCCTCGCTCAGGCGGGGCCTCCCTGGAGAGGTGGGTAAGGGCGCGAAACCATGTAAATAGTATGGGTGTCCGATACCCTCCTCGCTCAGACGGGCCTCCCTGAGGGGTGGAAGGGGGGCCAAAAACGAAACCCATGTAAATATATAACAAACTGAACGTCCCGAATACCTCCTCGCTCTGGCGGGCCAATCCCTGAGGGTGGAGGCACGAAACTATATAAATATATGGTTCCGATACCTCCTCGCCTCAGGCAGGGGCCTCCCTGAAGTCCCAAGTGCAACGAAACCATGTAAATAGTATGGTTTCCCGATACCCTCCTCGCTCAGGCGGGGCCTCCCTGGAGAGGTGGGAGGGGCACGAAACCATGTAAATAGTATGGTTTTCGGATACCCTCCTCGCTCAGGCGGGGCCTCCTGGAGAGGTGGGAGGGGCACGAAACCATGTAAATAGTATGGTTTTCGGATACCCTCCTCGCTCAGGCGGGGCCTCCCTGGAGGTGTGGGAGGGGCACGAAACCATGTAATTAGTATGGTTTTCGGATACCCTCCTCGCTCAGGCGGGGCCTCCCTGGAGTGGTGGGAGGGGCACGAAACCATGTAAATAGTATGGTTTTCGGATAAATAACCCTCCTCGCTCAGGCGGGGCCTCCCTGGAGGGGTGGAAATGGTATTGATATGGGAGGCGGGAGGCGGGAGGGAGAAGGAGAGGATGTTCTGGGAAAACAAGAACCCCACTCAGGATGTAGGGAAAAAACTATACAAATCGCAGTTTGCCTCCACATTCGGAGCATGCGCGGCCAACCCGATGCGAGCGACTCGCCCATCCTTGTCAAAAAACAATACAAAATACACTTCGGGGCCAACCAATGAATCATCTTCGTGTGGCCCGCGAGCACTTTGTATTGTTTTCGACAGGGACCGCAGGGGTGTCAGCAGATCCCCTGCTGCGCGCAGGGCTACCATCCCTGACAAAAAACAATACGGCATGCACCTCGCGGCTAAATCTGGATCGTGCGCGGCC